TTTATGTCGCCGTAAGGAGCGGGTATAGGTTGTGGACTTGCAACTGGAATGGTGCCTTTTCCCCTCATGGGCACTTCCATGTGCTGTTGAGCAAGGCACCATCCCTGAAATTGAATTTCAAGGATGCCGTACTGTGGCTGTCCGTGTGCATAGTAGTAAATTGCCTTTGGTTGAGTGACAAATAAAGTTTCCAATTTTATCATTGGTAGTTACAGCGAGGATAAATACTCGATTTACAGAACTCTTGCGAGATGGTTGAGGTTGGACATTGACCCCGAATGGCTCAGGTTATGTCACAGGGTGATGGTGTTTGTGTGTGGATGTTTGTGATGGCCGGTCCTGGTGATGATCAAGGACCACAAAGGTTGGTGATTGACCTTGAATGGTTGGGGTTAGGCATTTACTTTGGTTAAGTTAAGACATTGACCTCCAATGGTTAAAGTTAGGCATTGACCTCCTATGGTTAAAGTTAGGCATTGACCTCCTATGATTAAAGTAAGAAATTGACCTCCAATGGTTAGGGTTAGGCATTGACCTCCTATGGTTAAAGTTAGACATTGACCTATGGTTAAAGTTAGACATTGACCTCCAATGGTTAAAGTAAGACATTGACCTCCAATAGTTAGGGTTAGGCATTGACCTCCTATGGTTAAAGTAAGACATTGACCTCCAATAGTTTGGGTTAGGCATTGACCTCCTATGGTTAAAGTAAGACATTGACCTCCAATGGTTAGGGTTATGCATTGGCCTCCAAAAGTCATGGTGAGGAAAGGTTTTGAGGCAGCAAACTTCGCAAGAGTTTTCGCCAATCTTCGTCGATCGAGGTTACCTTCTATACAACTTATTTGTATCATTGCCATTTTTCCACCCAGATGAGGCCCTCTGACTTTTCTTTGTTCCCCCTTACCTGACTGCCATACCCATTACACATGTTCCCAAACAGCCTTTCAGTTTAAAAGCAGTTGTATTCCACACACTACTGGCCAGTTTGTTGAAGTCTCTTGATGTTGTTGTCCTGTCCTTTGGCTTTCAAGTTTTCTGTTATCTGAATCTCAACCTGGACTTTTATCTACCTGACCTTATGCATGATTACGGATTTATGATTCTCTGCATAAAACCTTGTCAGATGTATTTGTCTGTATGATGTTCCCTGTTTCGACTCTGGCGTCCTCATGACTCTGTAAGCTCTTGTACCCTATTTTATTTTTGTATTAGTCTGCATTTGGGTTAAATCCCCAGTTACCCTGCTTACTCCAACCGTGACAGAATTGTGTCAGTTTTATGGTCAGATATTATAGCAGCTTCGCCACGGTTGTGCCAATAGTTTTATTATGACATAGGCTTACAATTGGGAAGAAATGTTGCATAAGGACTAGTGGGACATTTTGGGGAATATACTTTTTCGTTACATGAGAAGATTTAAAAATATGTTGTACGATAAATATAGAACTAAAACCAGTTTGGCACAAATATTGGACATAGGAAAACAACTTGTCTGCTTATGTCCAAAAGTAAGAAAAGGTTACAGGAACAACTAAAGCTAGTAAATAAATAGTTGGTATTTTGTTAGTTTTCTCCTAACAAAAAGCTAAGTAAAAGAATGTCGATCTGTGGTGTTGCAAGGGGGAGAATTATGAATGACTTTTTTTTTTGTCCAGGCGCAGTGATTTAAGCTTTCCATATATGACTGGAAATGGAGTTCTCCTGAAACTGTATAAATACAAACATTCTCCAAGGAAGAGGCAAGAAACTTTGCAAACTCTGTTTTGACGATTATGTGGTATGAGATCAGATTATTGTGATTAATGTTAAATTCAAGCTCAGTTTTAGTCTTTATACTGTGGATTTAAACTGAAATGGATTGCAATTTCACATGAATAATAACCAGAATTCTTTGCCATTGTTTGATGGATTGAAATAAGATTGTATTGGAAAGTTTTCTGTCACTTTATTACATAAGCCATTCTCTTGGATATTATTGTAATATATTAATCTAGTATGAACCCAAACTATAAATTATGATTTTTAGATTTATGTTTCGAGCATACACCTTCAGTAAAACCTCAGTAAGCAGATGATTAGATTCATATGAAAACAGCTGCATGTGTCTCACATAAATCTGCACGCACACAATGCTTTATGTGCGGATACATGTTTATTATACACACGCAGTGCGCTGAACTGGACAGGCTTCATAATTCACGAGTAGTTTGCAGGAGACAGTTCGGCTTTGTGGAGATGTTCTGTCATCGCCTCTTGTCAGCTTAACACTGCTGTCCCACAGAGCTAGACTTCATCTCTCTGCCTCATCCTCGGCTCCACTTGTCTCCTCTCCGTGCGCTGTAAAATATGTATATTTTCCCCATGAGCCCGAGAACGGATTTCTCATCTGCAGCAGGATGGAAAGGACTCTCCAGAGCAGCTATTCTTTATTCCACATGTCCATGCACCAGCTGAAGCATACACAACCCCGGTCCAGTCCCAGTTTGAGATTTAACTGCCATTTCATCATGTTTGAGGCGGTGAAAGGTTGCACTGGGACAACATCTGAAGAAACATGGGGATGAACTTGAAGGCATGACAGCATGGGGGCCCCTTTTCAGTCAGAGTGAGACATCCCAGCCTCTTTTCCTCCACATAAAAGAGAAATATAATTGACTTGGTATTAGTCAAAGTGGAAGGATAACACGCATTTATATTGGATTTTTGTTTTTCACCCGTTAACAAGTCTTCTCTGTTTGTGTGGGTTTTAAGACACTGAGGGATTTCAAGGACTGTTGCAGAGCTGAATTAACAAGCAGGTTTGTAAATTTAGTCCAAAACACTCTCTTCGGAGACTCTTAAAAACACACACAAACAAGAAATCAGTGAGGGATTTTTTTTAACAAATAAGACCACACATGCAGCAGCAGCAGCAGCAGCAGCAGCAGCACTGTCACATATTATTTACATGACCTGTTCATAATGACTGCACCAATGCTGCCTCTGTCTTTTCTGTGTGTCTCAGTTTGAATACAGCCGATTACAGAGAGCTGTCCATCACTGGCTTCAGTAGTGGAGGCTGACCCGAGCCTGCTGGGAACTGAACTGTAGTTAATTAGTGCACAAAGCCCGAGGGACAAAAGAAACTTTAGGGGTGGAGGTGACCGGGGAGCTTCTTAAGTGGGGGGTAGATCTGGGAGGGGGGGGGGGGGGGGGGGGGGGGGATCTTGAGTTTGTAGCACAGAGGGACTTTTTTGGGGGGAATGTGTGTGTGTGTTCCTGTGTCGGGGGTGCAGCAGCAGGGGGGTAGGGGTCGAAGCAGTGGGAGAGGGGGCTCACAGAGGGATGAATTAGCAGTGTGAAGGGGAGCCTTGTCCCTGAGCTGAGAGCCCCCACCAGCCAGCACACACGCACTCTCTCCGCTGGATCCCGCTAAGGGACAAAAAGCCTGTGTGGGTTGTGGTGGAAAGGGACCCTAAAATGAAAGACTGCAAAAGGTCAAAGTGTGGCATGAACTAATGAGAACAGGCAGTCTGTCACGAAACTGATTTAAACTGAAAATATCTCTTTGATAATTAGGATCTTCTTTCGTAATCCCCCCAAGGGAAGCATATGATCCTCCCGGCAGCAGTATTCTCATGTGTGTCTGTGCTGATTTAGTGGCATTATCATAGGTCTACATGTAGAAATGTACTGTGAAATTGATCAAATAACGCTAAAATATTTGTATGATATCAAATAGCAGGATTTTATTGATTAGTCAGGGTGAAATCTGTGGATTTGCTGAAAGAACCAGTGTAACTGGTACCACAGATGGTTATTATGCAGAAGGCTATCAGCCTCAAAGGCCACTCAATAACCCGCGGGAGGCGCTATGTATCCATTGGGACCAAAGCTGATATTGACGTCCCCTGCCGAAGCGACCACAGTCCCTTTAATGCCACAATTGATCGGTGTTTAGCGGCGGTGAGCGGAGCGCCAGGCCGGTGTTACCTGCAGCCGGGCCCGCCAAACACTGCGGGCTGGAGGCCGCCTCACCAACCAACCTCCTCCTCCTCCACATCTCACCTCCTCATTCCCCGCGCCCCCCACCAGCACCATGAAGCAACGCTGAAAATCAGAGCAAACCCGGAAATTCAGCAGCTTTGACTTCAAATAAAAGCGTGACATTTGGTTTTCGCTTATAATTATTTGAAAGAATAAATTAGGAATGAATTCTGTTACTGTATTCCGTTAATCATAGAGTTCACCAACCATGTCATGATGACATGTAAGAGGTGATAACACAAAAAGAAAAACGGCCATGACGTCAGTGTTTGGGGTGATGTCATCTTGTGTCCGGATTTCTACCTGGTGTGATCACCTTTTAATTACGCAACAATATGTATTTGATATGTAGGCCTATAAATGAACCATGTTTCACTAGTGATACATGCTTTATGGTATTGTGAGATCACTGACCATACTATGTTGTTGTGAAAAGTGCCTTTTATTTTGTACGTAGTCTAATTAATAAAAAATAAAATAGATACATATACATACATATCCTATATATAATATACTGTATAAATACATAATGTTATACAGGCTTTATTGTAAAAATCATAAATCTATTTCGAATTAAGCTTAGCCCGCAGTGTTACAACGCATATCAAAAGTTTCAAAACACAATAAATAAATATATATAAATAGATACAAAATCATGTAACTATTAGGCCAACATATTAGGCTTTTGTCAACAATGCAATGTTTTCCAAATAGAAACTACCTCGGCTACTGAAACCCTAACCCTAATATTATAGATCAATTAATCAATAAATAACAACTATTATGAAGAAAGGGACAACATCAACGTTTTTCTTTCTTCATTAACGTCACATTGCTGCTTAGTTTAATGCGATGTCTCTTGGGTGAATAAATTACCCCAATACCCGTTATCGTGCTATTATTTTGAAAATCCTGAACGGAAGCTTGAGATCCACAGTGTGCAGCGCCAGCTTGCCTCCGCCGGAAGCCCCAGCCCCTCGGTGTCTCTCTGTCCCGGTTGTTGCCATTCCGACGCACATCCCTCGCAGAAGAGCAACAGCTACGCGGAGTTGCCCAAAGTGGACTACCACAGATTCCTCTGCGGACAGAAGGCGACCTGATTCCCGGCTTTCATATCCTCTGCTCGGGGAGACCAGCAGCCGTGGGATGCGCCTGGACAGAGGTTCGGTGAGGTTAAGTCGGATAAAGAAATGAGACTGGAAGGGTTGCAGACTGTAAGCATCGCGTTCACAACTCCGGAGGAATAACGGGACCCTGAATGAATGTGAAATAAAGCGTTCGGTTATTTTGTTTTATTTATTTTTTTATACGGGGCGTAAAAGACCCATCCCCACATCTGAAGACATGAGAATTGGGAGAGGAACAAAAAGCTCGGCTGCGGTGCTCTGTGTTTGAGGCTCCATCCATTCGAAGGGTCCAGTCTGCACACCTTTATTCATGTTGCAGAAGCCTGTTTTATGACAATGGATTACTTGCTGTGGGTGTGCAGCCTCGTTGTCCCCGTGGTGCTGGCTGTAGAAGGTATGTGCTCTGATATTTGCATGACTACTTTGTTTCTCCTGTGAATGCACAATGGGATGGACAGCTTGGATGCATTCGAATTTGCAAGAAAACACACTATTGTCACATATTGAGAAATAAACACCATTACCACTAGAATAAATGAGTATTTTATCTGACAATTTGAAGCATATTTGGCTCAGTCTAATTTGCCAGTTTACACACCAGATCAGTCTTTAATGCTGAAATGAGATCCGTTAGCAAGAATCATGTTTTGGTTAATTAAAGCTGTTAATATAATGCTCTGTTGAATAGGCAATTTCGCTGAGTATCAATTGGCGCTGTGAATGTATTCCATGTACACATGTATCATTCCCTGTGTGTTTGATGTGTGTGTGTGTGTGTGTGTGTGTGTGTGTGTGTGTGTGTGTGTGTGTTGATGTGTGTGTGTGTGTGTGTGTGTGTGAAACCCCAGTGTTCCCATTGCGGCTGAAGCACTGCCCTGTTGCTATTGTCCCTGCTGTTGTTGTCACACCCACAAGCTGAGTGAGTGAGGGTGCCCACCTGCCCCCCCCCCCCCCCCCACCTACAGCACCACTGGTTATACAGTAGGATACAGAGGGGCGTCCCTCTCACACTGAAACAGGAACACACTGATGCATGTGGAAGGTTTCGAGTTGGGTTCTCCCACCAATCAGTGGTGTGTGGAGACCCAAGCGGATCAATCCCGGCCCCTGAAGCTCCACAGTCACATGCGGAACCCATTAGATGACAAGTGTGAATTAAAGGTCAATGGCTTAACAAGTATGCTGCAGCCCCTGGAAGCTCCCTCCATCACCGAGGGGAGTGTAGCTCCAGGGAGAAGCCCACCCTCCTGCCCAGCTACCGTAGCTACATTTCTCTCCCTTCTTTCCCTCCCCGTCCAATCTGCCTCCCCTGGACCGTGGCCAGCTTGATCCCTCATCAATTCTGGTGTCAGCAAGTAAATCAATGCAGCGGCAGCAGCCCTCCAAGTCCCAGTGGGCATCTCACGGCGTGATGATCAGCCCTGTTTCCCCCCCCAACCGGACCAGTAGCTGTTACTCACATCTCAGGGGTTAACTAATGTTTGTCCTCTGAGGATAAACATCAAGGGCAGATCATCGGATTGGGTTTAAACAGTTTTTTTCAGTTGCATGTCGTTTTTTTTAGCTGCTTACTCAGTGGACTCCAACACATTGCCTGAATCTGGAATTCGTTTTTTTTTTCAGATTGGCATGTGTTTGCGCATGGATGATGCAAGCTGGACTGCAACTTGTAGTGCGCTCCTGCTTATTTACAGACGCCGTTTTACTGTACGGTTACATTAAAAAGCTCATAAAATAGATGGATGACCCGTAATGAAGGGTTTCATAAAGTTAGACACAGCTATCGTGTTTGCGATTGTAGGGTAGGCATTTAGCGTCAGTTGATTTTCACATCAATAGAGCGCTTCATTGGCCTTTTCCCGCTTTCTATACATTAGTAAATCAACAAGAATAATTATCTGTTGACCTGTAAAAAGCAGATGAAAGCAGCCATGAAGAGAGATTGAATTAGGTCAGCTTGACTTGTTCAGAAAGTGCTCATCAAGCGTCAAACAGAGTATCACATAGACTGTATCGCTGTGATCCAATGGAGGGAAACATGCTCTGAAATACAAACAAACCCTTGCTTAGAAAGAGCCAAGGAGTCCATTTTTCCATCTTGATCACCCTATTTTTCCTCTACCTATTCATCGCCACATATTCGATCACCCTGTGATCACTAATGATGATGATGTTAATATTTTATATGTTTGCTTGTTGGCAGCGAGTGTCAGTGTACAAAACGATGCCTCCCTTTCATGGTGCACAAAGTGAATAAAATATTAGCATGTGTGAGCTCCCAGAGCGCACTGGGAATGCAGAGTTGTGTGGCATTTTGGCTCCTGCGGGCGTAAAGAAAAAACACACAAAAAATGACGGTACGGTAAATGCCACGGGTGGTGATGCTCTAAAGTTCCCACTGCAGTATTGTTTTCTTACCCCAGGGGCGGAATGACTCCACCGCTGCTGTGGTTTTATGGGAGATGAGGGAGATTTCTGGATTTGAGTTATAGCAGCAAGGCGATCTCAGAGGCACTGTACATTTAGCAGGGAGGGGAGAACTGTGGAACAAATGGGATCTTTTTCAATCTGAACCGCTTTCGACGATTTAGAGTTGACCATAACACACTTTGGTCAATAGAGTTTTTGGCCAACGATAACCTTATTATTCCCACGGAAATTTGAGAGTTGAGCAACACGTGAGCCTGGACTCAAATGGTAAAGGAATAATTGACCTTTAAAGGTGGGCTAGGTCATTTTGGAGAAACCGGCTCGAGTGCGCTAGAATTGGAAAATACACAACCGGAAAAAATCTGCCACTTCCTTACAGAGCCCCTCCTCCAACAGACACGATCGCGCACATGACCAATGAGGGCACGAGATAAGTTTGTGCACAGATGGAAGGCTGACAGGCAGGTAGGCCATCCAGTTATTTTAGCCGGACCGGCTCAGATGATTGGTCGTGCTTTTTACAGCGCTACAGCTTCCACAGATGACGTTTCTTTATGGATTTTTTGTTAAAGCACTTCAGATATTCATTGCTATCGGGATGTTAAGAGCATTCCATGGAATATAACACAAAGTGTATCTCGAGCCGGTTTCTCAAACTTACCTACCCCACCTTTAATGACCATTTGTATATAAATTCTTCGAGAATACCTTGCTTTTCCTGCATGCCTTCGTGGTGAACAAAGAACATTTATATACACCCTTCGACCAAGTCTTACACAACTCGTTCAGTATCATCCAAGTTCCCTTTATCCAGTTATATGCTCACAATTTTCCAAACACATGCATTTTTGCTAAAACTGCACTATTTGAAACACATTTCGGAATTGCTAGGAAGAACAGCCTACGTTAGTGTGAGACTGTTTACGTTGAATTTTATGACTCGATAAAGGAAACTGAGATAGTATGATTTGTGCAACAGTTGGTATGATTATGTTTTGATTTTGTTTGGCAAGAGCTAACGTTGGCCCCAATATCCTTCAATTGATCAAGACTTTTCAAAAATTTCGGATGCTTCGTTCATTGTTGAGGATTTCAAGAAACTAATACATTTTCCTAAATAATTCAAGCTACACGTGCTTGGTGGTAACAGGTATACACAGATTGATGTTGTGCTCTAAATATTCTTTTAACATCTGAACACAGGCTCAGTTGCCTTAAAACTACATTTGAAATAGGAATAGGTTATTTTTAGCTATAGCGTCATCCCCGCCCATTTATTACAATTCATAAGGACCTTTATTCGGGTTCTTCATTCACTGCTAAAGAATTTGAGAAAAACAAAAAAGAAATTGAAAAATCTAAGGTTACATGCTAATGGTATTTCATATGCAAAGAGTTATTTTGTGTTTGAAATATTATTTGTAACATCTGAACACAGGCTTAGTTTCTCTAATATGTAAATGTCCATAGGAACAATGTTATCTGTTAGCCTGAAGACATACAGCGTCATCCCCTCTAACTGGCTAATAATAGTTTCTATAAAAGTATGATTCTTCGAAATATTGTGAAGAGAGATTCTGTCCACTCCGGCTCCACGGGGAGGTCAGAGGTCATGTTCGGATAGAAGAGCGGCTCTGGAGCTGCGAGGGAGTCCGTATCTCCCTCAAGAATCCTTCAGCGGTGTGAAATCCCGCTTTCACAGAGGCTTGAACCCGGCTTTCTACGGATGTAAGGATGGTCAACCTGCTGCCCGCCGTGTGAGGTGAAGCCTGCTAAAGGAGCATCGGGCCTGTGGGTTAGTTGAGGCTGAGTGATTCTGTCTCGGTTGCCGCGGGGCGACCGGGAGAGGAGAGGGAAGGGGGGACACTGGATCAGACACCCGGGGGACGGGCAGTATCAGCAGCATGGAGCCCGGAAGCTCTCAGTCAGCTGTGTGCCACGAGTGCAGCCGAGCAGAGACAACAGACACTGATTTCCCTGATTAGTTCCTCCGCTCTGACTCAAGTCGTGCAACAAACAACCGTGTTCACCATCGTGTATTGGAGCAACCCAACTGCTGTCGCTCATGTCCTCACGCACACAACTACAGAAGGCCTTCATAAATTAGAGACAGGACTTGCTTTATGCATTTAAATCATTTTGTGCTTTATCTCAATTTTCAACAAAAGATGGAGGGAGCCACTTATTTATTGTGGAGGGGAATCATTTTTACATTATGCAGCTGTTTATTCAAACTTTTCTTTGCTCAAAATACTGCTATCTCCACATTAAAGTATTCTGGTTACAAATCACAGGCTTAATGCTCCCCATAAAGAAATTACAAAGTGACTATGAGTTCATTAGCTCCTTCTTAATGGATCGTCATTTAATGATCGTTAATTCAATGTACTTCATTCTTTAATTTATACACCACCAAATGAGCTGGACTCCAGTTACATAGAAAAGGCCTTTTTCAGGGCCACACTTAACCCCTTATCTTATTCAAATATCCATAGTTTGATATCCATCTAGTTGTATGCCAACACATGTTGCTTTGTGATGTTAAACATTTTTTTGATGGATAAAATAAATCATATTTGGCATATCAAAACTGTTTAAAGAGCTCAATCCATGGAGAAATGCACAAAGCCAATATTCAGAAACACCTTTAAATGATCTGTTATCCTGACTGTTATGACTTCCTATAAGGTATACATATACAGTAGAAGTGATTCCCTGGCAGTGACAGTGGAGAAATGTCCAGAACGCAGATATAGAAGACTGGTAAAAACTGACTAATAAGAAGAGATTTTTTCAGGAGGATGTCGAAGACACAGGCGCAAAAACAGAGCGTTTCAGACAGAGGGGGAATACAGATATATTTAGAAGACAGTTTTAGGAAAATAATCTATTTTTTTTATATTAGAGCATGTCAAAATATTCTCTTAGAAACCCAATATAGAAGTATGAACCTGAAAATGTGCA